TAAAGTTATAGTTGTGTACCAATCTAAAAAACAATAGATGGCCAAAAAAGAAAGTTTAGAAAACAAATTGTAGTTCAAGAGTAATCAGACAGAAGAGCAAGTTAGATTTGCGCTTGATTGTCCATTTTGCCCCGCCCTGAAACCATATCAGCAGAAGATAAACCGGGCAGATGCATATGTTGAAAGACCCAAACAATGCTCCATGACCTAGTTGTACACCACAAGGGATTTCACTGGAGTTTAATGACTTGCTCGCTGCAAAGTTTTTCATGGCTGCCACTCCAGTGTTAAATGTAAAATCTAGATATCATATTCCAAGAAAAAGATCAAAAAAGGACTCAAAAGAACAACCACCACATAAAATCCCTTTCAAGACATGTGATCGTATAAATCCCATCTCTGGCCATAACTCAAATTTCTTACACTAATTCATTGCAAAGATACTGCACCAGTACCACCAAATGGGTAGTTTCCAAGATTACAGGGGTCATTTCTATGATAGAACAAGAGAAAAGCAAAATTACTTATGCGGGAGCATAAAGTCTTTTTTTTTTTTTAATTATTTGTTTTAGCTTGAGTTTTATTTGAAATCTAAGTTTAAAATTTAACAAAGTTATGTGAATAGCATGTGACTTTTAATTAAAATTAAAATTAATAACTTAATAGGAATTCATAGCTTATTAGAAGTTCAAATTAGAATTGAATTAAAATTCTTAATTATTGTTAGTATATATAATTATACTTTTCAAATTTCAAGAACAGTTTTAGTTATAAGACTATATTTTGTTAATAAACTTGAGGTTACAAACCTAAATTTTATTGGTTCCATCTTTAATTTTATAAAGTTTTAGTTTTTGTTTGTTTTACCCCTACCTATCCTGCATCAATTACCCAAAAAGAAACTGGCGCAAAATTGTGCACTGGCACATATTTCCAGTTATTCCAAGGGCGAAAACTCAATTACACAACTAGTTGTGTCTGCACGGAACAGCTCTTAACTCATTTTTTATCTCCTTTTGCTTCTCCAAGTTTGCTGAAAGCTTCTCTGTACAAAAGATTGACATTTTCTGCAATAGAGTCGCATTTTCAAGCAAATATTTCAAGAAATGAACTTCTGTTGCAGTTCCGTCAAAAGCTGCAATGTCAAGCCTTTTGAGGGAAGAGATGAAGCATTGTGGAACGGCATTCAAAATCTCCTTTTCCTGACTGAGAGCATCTGGTTCAAGTCCCTGACACAATCAGGCGACATTCGTTTAAAAAAGGAGTAATCATGCTCAGTTCATCACCTGAAAAATCATAAAACTAAACCACATTAACAACAGTAATA